AGGGTTTGGCTTGGGGTTGAGAGTTTAGGGTTCAGGGTTTGGCTCTCGGGGTTCAGGGTTCGCGATTCCCTTTCCACAGTTCAGGACCGCCGGCTGGATAGGTCTGAGGTTGGGTTTTCCAGCCTTTGGACTTGTGGCTTCAGGGGAAATATACCTCAACATGGACGGATGTAAACAAAAGTGTCCCCTGATAGTCCCCATCTGACTACGCACTGTCTGCCTATCTGTCTGTCTGTCTACCTATCTATCTATCTATCTATCTATCTGTCTGTCTATCTGTCTGTCCATCTGTCTATCTATCTGTCTATCTTTCAAACCCTAAACCCTACACTCCTAAACCCTAAATCCCAAACCCCTAAACATTCCTAAACCCTAAAGCCCTAAACCTGAGCCACGACACCCCTACTCTGAACCCTAATAAAATGTCGGAAGCCGGATTCAGGACAAATAGTGCTGGGATTCCCCATACATTACTGTTAAGGATTCAGGCTATTGGGTTTCCAACTTTTGGGCTTCTACTGTAAACCCCTAAACCCTCAACAGCCTCAACCCCTAAACCCCTAAACCCCAAACTGCCAAACCCTAAACTCCTAAACCCTAAATACTAAACCCCCAAACTCCTAAACTCCTAAACCCTAAACCCCTAAACTCCTAAACCCTAAACCCCTAAACCCTAAACCTCTAAAGCCCTAAACTCCTAAACCCTAAACCCCTAAACCCCCAAATCCCTAAACCCCCAAACCCTAAACCCTAAACCCCTAAACCCTAAACCCTAAATCCCTAAATCCCCAAAACCCTCAAAACCTAAACCTCTAAACCCCCAAAACAGGGTTTAGGGTTTAGGGTTTAGGAACCCCCAAAACCCTCAACCCTAATCCCTAAACCCTAAACCCTAAACAACGCCTGCGAGCCGAGGCACTTCAGGTCGCCGGGAAGGCGGAGAACCGCGGCCTCCGCGCTCTGGTCCTCTTCAAGCGGGCCGAGCCCCTTTGGTGGCAGCGGGTGTAGGGTTTAGGGTTTAAGGTTCAGGGTTTAGGGTCTAGGGTTTAGGGTATAGGGTTTAGGGTTTCGGTGTAGGTTTTAAGGGTTTTCAGGTTTAGGGTTTAAGCCTTTTCAGGTTTAGGGTTTAAGGTTGCGTAGCGAAGTTCCACACAACATGGGTTCCTTTTGGTTGTACGGTTTTGGGTTTTTTAGGGTTTAGGGGCGGGCCGAGCTTGATTGGTGGCAAAGCTTTCGAGCTCACTCGTCTGAGGCTTTGACACATAGGTAGGTAGTATTATTCGGGGTACCCCTTAAAGGGTACCCCTTCTGAACCCTACTTGTGGCTCTCTTAAAAGGGACCTTATTGAGAGGGTCTATATCCCCAAGGGTCCCCCTAATCCTAGCTCCCAATAGGAAAGAAATTGATATTCGCTTCTGGACCCTGCATGGTTCTAATGCAACCCGGGCCTTACCAGATTCTGTAAGGCCTCGTTTTATTCTATAAGGTGTTTGTCATGGGCCTATGTTGGCTGCAGAGCCTAGGCTTCGTTTGAGCCATAGAGCTTCGAGTGTCCGGAGAATCACCCCTATAATACTATATGATTAGCACTGTATATAACCTTGTACGGTGTGAAAACACACAAACATATCTATATAACCCTAACCCTAAACCCTTATATATACATATATATATATACACATACATTTTCTTTACATTCAAGAACCTAAAGATGCCGGGTGCCGGGCTGTGTTTGCAGGGCCGGTTTGGCCCGGTCTAGGGTTTTGGGCACCAAGAGCCTCAAGCCTCCAGAGCCTAGGCAGTCGTGGATATGCAGTTGAGGGTTTCGTGTTCGACCCTACCAATACCGTGCAATCAAGGACTAAACTTTGGTCGTTCTATTGCGATTTTACGGCTTATTCAGTTCATTCTACCAAGATTGGCCTGCGGGGCTCTCTGGGCATCTGATTATGGCATCGTGAAATACCGCCCAAGTGGGTGTATTCAGGTAGGCATGATAGCCCTAAACCCTAAACCCTAACCCTAAACGACAACTCCGAAGCCCAGGACCATGGTACTGGCTGGCAGGCAAGTGGGGGGGGGAGGTTTGGGCAGGGTTCTGAGGTTAAGGGTTACTATACTGTAGATGCCCCGAATCGTTCGTCATGTTGGAGTTGGTTCAAGCTATTTCCTGAATATCTATCAACACCGCTGTCTGATTTATCAATCTTTCGTATTGGATGGGGTTTAGACCTTTGCTTTAGGATTCCGGTGTGTTGTGGGTGTGTGTTCTTTCGTAAACGCTTGTCAAGGTATTCTGAATTTGTTGTAGATTATGGCTAAACAGGATGTCGATGGCTTATGAGTCGTTTCAGCCACAAATCCTTCATCGGGAGCCGTAGGCTCGCGGGCAGAGTGTCCGAGGGTTAGCTATGAACTTAGCCAGTGCTTGCTGGCAGGAGGGCTTCGTGCGAGACTCGCCCTACACTTTCTACGAGTTCCCTTTATATAAGGGTCATTGTTCATAAAGGTGCCGCCTTCTTTTGGGTTCCTAAAACAAGACGCCTCGTTGTAGAGTATATGCCGGCAACACATGATGAGCCACAAGCCCAGCGGCGGCATCTCGAACTCGAGCTCTGGGAGCAGCAGGTTTAGGGTTTAGGGTCTGAATGTGGCGAAGTAGACTCGTTATACTTCGTTCAGTTTTTGGTTTTTTGGCCTTAATCAGATGTAGCAGAAGGCTTACTCGACAGTCGATTGGACAATTTATTAAATAGGCGGGGAGGGTACCTTTCAAGGGAAACATCATGTCAAGGTCTTGTATTTTATTGGTGTTCGCATTAGAGAAATCGTATCGCCCAAGACCCAAAAACCCCAAATTGGAAATCTCCCCTAAACCCTAAACCCTAAACCCTAAACCAAACTCTCAATCCGGAAGCCAAGACACACGAACCACAACACCACCCTGATGTGCTTGAGGCTTCGGGCCCTGTGCCTTCACACCCCCCGCAGGAAGGCAAAGCTAAAGCCGAATTGTTTAGGGTTTAGGGTTTAGGGTTTAGGGTTTAGGGTTTAGGGTTTAGGGTTTATGGCTTAGGCCCCTACCTTAAACCCTAAGCCCTAAACCCTAAACCCTAAACCCTAAAGCCCTAAGCCCCCAAAGGCTGGGGCTTAGCAATTCTGCAATCAGGGCTGAGAAGCTTTATGATTACGATCGTGTGCTGAAGCCCGAAATATGAGCCCCTAAAGCGCCTTGAATCGCTGTATAGAAGCCTCCTGAAACCCTGTTACAGAGGCACCCTATAAGAACTCCTAGAGAAGCCCTAAACCCTAAACCCCAATAAGAAATCTTTTGAAAGCCGTATGAAAGCGGAGGCATCAGACCGGTCTTCGAGATGTCAAGGAAGCCTCTGGCATCTTCGAGGCATCGGAGCATCGCATACCTGAAAGGATGTAGGGTTTAGGGTTTTGGGGTACGTTTTCCGTCGTAGCTGCGCAGGTGACCTCCACCTTTCTCGGACTGTCCGCACTCCCTCGAACCCTAAACTCCTCAACTTCTATAGAGATTAATGTAGGGGCCTTAATGAGATGCATAGGGTTTGGGGGTAGATCATACTATAATTATCATAAGGAACCACCAAAATCGTCTTCTAATTATTCTCGTGCTGGGGATGTCGACTGCCTGGGCTCGTTTTATTTAGACCTTAATTAGTAGGAGTAGGGCTTAGCAGGCTTCAGGGCTTGGAGTCCAGGGTTAAGAGTGGAGCCTTAAATTAGTTTTTTCTCTTTGATTTAATGTGAGTTTATGTTGGGCTTGCCTTGCTCCGTGTCCAGCAGCTTTTTTGCGAGCGCCTCGCAGATGTGTCCGACTTTTAACGAAGAGGTGAGTTTTTGTCCGGCATTACCTTGCTGCTAGAGCTGTCCTCGAAAGACTATTTCGAACGGCGGTGTCTTTCATTGAATCACCGCGTGCGTGCCCTGAGTAGTTTTGTAGGCGCCAGCATCCCGAATGGAAGGGCCACCGTGAGCTTGGGTAAGCTTCGCATATGCAGTTGCAGTTGCAAACAATGTTTGGAAATCTTAAATCTTGTAGCTGAATCTTCTTGAAAGTGGAGTTGATATAAGGGTTTGTGGTGAATGTATTTAGCCGACCACTGGTGGGTGTACGTTTTGGCTTTTCTTGTCGGGATAGTAGAACTACATCCCCGGCCCTGTGTGGGCGTTCCGTCCAGCTTGCAGAGACAAGAACGAGGAGGATTGTATCTCCGACCAAGCATGTGGGTAGTTCTCTAAAGTTGGGTCCCTTTTTGGGTCCCCAATATAGTACGGCACCCATATAATATGGACCCAATGAGGGATCCTAATTTAGAAAACTACCCATGTACGATTGTTGTAAACCACAGCAAACCCCAAGCCGCTTTAGCACTACCTTACGAACCCAAAACCTACTTTTTTGTAGGGTCTCTATAAATCCCATATTAGGGTTTATAATAAGAACTTACAAAACAGTGGGTTTGGGGCTCTTAAGGTAACCCTAAACCCTAAACCCTAAACCCCAAACCGTTAATCCTCACTGCCCAGTCGTGAAGTCCAGACCCAGGCCCCGAACAGAAATAACAAGTTGATAATTCCGAACTGCTCAACCATAATTAAACCCTAGGGTTTAGGGTTTAGGGTTTAGAATAGAATAGAACAGCACCTGACAGTAGAAATAGAACCGCCTATTGAGCAACTCTTACATCAGCTCTTATGGAAGCCATCACCCAACCTTAGCCGCAGGAGATGGACCACTACCAAGCCCTGGGCAGATGCCTCCTCCTGTCGGGCAACATCAAGCATGCGCTAGGTGGGACGTTAGGGTTGAGTGTTTTCTCGCGGGTTATTGGTGTCGTTGCTTCGTGTTTTGTGTTGTTTTTATGTGTGTACGTACATAAATCCACAATCCACATGTATGTAGGTATTTGTGTGTGTATATATATATATATATATTATGCATTGTGCTCGGAAAGAGGTTTCCAAACTGCGCAGCAGCCGATCTGTCGATCGGCTGATCGGCTGGTCGGGTTTAGGGTTTAGGGTTCCGGGGTTTAGGCGGTGTAGGGTTTAGGGAAGAGGGTTTCCAAACTGTGCATGAGCCGATCAGCCGACCACCCAACCAGCCCATCAGCCGTTTAGGTTCATGCCCCATGGGGTTTGACCCCCTTCGTATTCCTGTCGAGTCATCTGTAGTTTGAGATTTCGGAATATGGGCCATACGGCTGATTTCGATTTCGGACATTGGACGCCGGCGTCAAAGGTTATGTTATGTGTATATGGGACCCCAAACCCCTCAGCCCTAAGCCCTAATTTGTAACCCTACTTCCCTATAACCAAAAAAGACGCCTCAGCTTAATGGTCTTCCCCTAACCCCCCAGGTACCTACTGTAAAGGGCCCTAGGGGCTCTAGTACCCTATATAGTAGGTATCTGGGAGGTT